GGCTCCATGCTGGAGCCGTTAGTGATGTGATCCCTGTACTTGTCTGCTGAGCGGAAGGCAAACACAACCTAGATACTGAAATTGCAGTCTCAGTGAGCAGGGCTGTCCCACTGTCAGAAGGACACGGGTCTCAGAGGGCCACATCTCTCGGCTGTCACCCACCACAGTCCTTCGCAGAAGGGTTGAGCAAACCACAGAGAAGGAACATCCCTGTCCCTGGGCAGCATCCCAGCCCGAGGCACAGGCTGGCATGGGTTAGCAGCACTGCCTCCTTCCTGCTTTGCATCAATAGAGGGCTGGTCAATCTAGCATATTTCAGCAGCCCTAAACACTTCTTAGATACTTCAAAGATATTTAAAGCAAGCAAACAAACAAAACCAAACAGGCTGGGAAACATAAAAGCAGGTTTCTTCTATCCCTGTCTAATTGATCCAAGGGTTCAAAGATTCCTGCAGAGAAGGCAAGCTCAAAACTGCACTGAGGATACAAAGACCCACATTCAAAGCCACACAGAGCTGATTACTGCTCAGGAAGAGGGGTTTCATGCCCACCCAGGCTCAGCTGCCCACTTCACCACCTGAGAATACAACCTGAAGCACGGCTGCCCCTCACACAGGGATGAGCAGTACCCAGCACAGAGGCTCCTGAACACCAAACAAGCAGACTCGCCTTGTGCCTACCCGTTTTCAGCAGAAGATGTGCAGAGAGCGGGGGAAGTCAGGCTCACGGCCGAGTCCTTTCCTGCCCTCAGACTTGTTGAGCACGGCTGGGCAGCAGTGTCTGCATACTGCAAACAGCACAGAAACCATGCCAGGAACCAGCTTACAATGCACCTACATGCCAACGCCTTCTGGAACACCTGCATCCCTCCCCACCTACACCCAGCTGCCAGGAGAGGTGTTGCTCAGTGTCTCCTAACACTACCGCTGCCATCAGAGATGATGACTGAGGCTGACGTGCTGCTGAGAACAAATGAAAAGCAGCCCAGAGTCAGTTTTCACTTTGGAGAGGCTCTGAGGCTTGGCCAGGGCTGCTCTCTGCCTTCTGTCCAGCACCTCCACCCCTTTGGTGGTGGGTAAGCCCCCTCTCTGCGCTCCCCTCCCAGCTGGCAGGCTGCCCTGGGCAGTGCCAGCCTCCAGAGGAGAGAGCTGACAAGGAAGAATTGAAGAGGGGAATGCTGCAAGGCAGCGCTCTGTTTAGTGTACACCAGAGGCCCGAGTTACCCACGCATGGACAGCCCAGGCAGGCGCTGCCACCAGGCTCAGTTTATGAAGGGCTCAGCTCCATGCTCATGATTCACTGCTACCCGCAGAGCACTAGGCACAGTCGACTCCTTGCTGAGCAGATGTTGAAACCTCAGCCCAAACCAATTGATCTAGAAAAGGGCAGCCAGCGAGGGTGGGCACAGGCAGCCAGCGCTCCCACCCCACGTCCAGCAGCAGAGCTGAGGGCAGAGCTGACTGTTTGCACCGTGGGACACCTCCCAGCACCAGGCAGCACTTCTCGTTGTTCATGGTTGCCTTCATCCCTACAAAACAACTCCCTTACAGGCACAGCAAGTTCCCTTACTTCTCTCCAAAGGCAAAAGACTACCAGTACTCGATGCTTAACTTGCGGTATGTGAAAGAGGGCAAGACCAGTTTTAAGGGCCACATTTTTGGGCATTTGGAAAAACAGACCCAACCTCTGTTTATTCGCTTCATGTTTTAGCTACTCTCTAGCTCCTTTCGGTTTGTTGCTTTAAGCTCTGTGTTTGCATTTCTTGACAAGGTCGTTGCTTTCACAAGACTTTTGCAGCACTGCCCCACTTCCCTGGCCTCCAGCTTTGTCTTCTGACGTCCAATTGCTCTCAGAATATTAATTAAAATCACAAAGAGCTCAGGAAGACGAGCCAAAACAGCAGAGGAAAACATCAGACACTCCTTCCTCCCCCCAGGCCCCCAGCAGAGGGCAATGCCCAAGACTTAGAAGCAAAAGTAACCTGTGAAGGACATCATAGTCTGATGGTCCGGCTCAGGGTTTCTCAGCTAACAGTACAGATTTTCCCAGAACTCAAGCTTGCTACGAAACTTTATTCTACCTGCTTGATGAAATTAGTGTGTTTTATAACACGCCTGCCCTATCAGATGATTTTAGCATCCTTATGAATATGCAGACATTTTATAACCTTAAGCAGGGCAAAAAATCTGAAGGGAAAAAGATTTGAAAGCTCTCCGCACCATGAGATTTGCTGACATCAAAAGGCACGGCTGGTTCAGAAGTCAACTTGAATCTCAACTCTCTCACCTGCTTCCTATTACAGAAACAGATGGTCCTCTTGCTGTAAATTGCTGCTATTAATAATATAAATAATTATGCTTTTCTAATCATTTAATAGGTGCACAGGAGGGTACCAAAGTTCCTGGCAGCCATTAAATACATCTCCCTTCTTCTCAAGGGCTCAGAGACACGTCGGTGGCCTCTCTTATCCTCCACTAAAGTTCAGAATAAGAGATCTGAAGCCAGAATAAAAGCTAAGGAGAAATCAAGGGAACCAGGCTCCTCTCCACAGGCTGCCCTGCAGACCCATCCTCTTTCCAAATCTCTATGTGACAGGGACAGCACCTTCCCCACCTGAGATGCATGCGTCAGAGCCCACACGTGGCTAAGCACTGCAACACTCACACTCCCATCCTCATGCAAGACGCTGCTGCACAGCCCCAGCTGATTTTTACCTCCCCAGCAGGTTCCCAGGACCCGGTGAGGGGCAGCACCCCCCACGTCCCACCGACTGGGGAAGCCCTACTCTGCAAGGGAACCTGCCCTGGGCCTTGCGGTCCCTCCCTCCCCACACTGCAGGCCTCACTCATTTGCTGTTGTTCCTCCAGAGAACACTTTGTCCTTCTGCTGACAACAGCCCCAGCCTTGGGAACGCGAGCAGTAACACCAGATTAACGAGGTCACTGCAACCTCCAAGTGAACACTGCCCGTGACTGTGGCTGCTCAGCCCCTCTTCCCACCCTCCAGCGATCATGTACACAGAGCAACATGGCTCTGGCTCTGTCGGATGAGAGAAAAATCACTACTGGCTCCAGATGTTAACACAGCATAGACACATCTGGATCACTGGAGGGCAGTGAGCAGCCTATGGGCCACACGCTGGCTCTGCTCTGCCTCACCTGCAGAGTTAAGCCCAGTGACTGACCAGGCCTGCCACGTGCCTTAAGCAAAAATCCCAACCCTTCAGTGCTGCATGCTCTCCAAGTCTCATGCTGTGACATGCGGTCAGTGGGGCTGTGTCACCGCCCATGTGGGGGACACTGCCACATGTCAGGCTCAGCCCTCCTCAAGAGGGGTTCTGCTCGGATCGAGACCCTCCCTGACCCCTAAGGCACACTGTCCCGCCTGCATTGGCACACCAGATCAGTCCATAGCAGGTTGCGTTCAAGCTCAGATTCAGTGAGGAGTGTTATGAGAGCAGAGACCCTCTCGCTCTTTTTTTTTTTAATTATTTCCAGCTAAGAAAAGGCTGTGCACTCCTGGTTATGCAATACAGTCAGAGCTGCAGAGCCCCTCTCCCAGATAAATCTGGCCCGACTCCTTCCCACTGCAGCTCTTCCACACAATACGCTCAAGCATCCAGTCAAACGTGTCTCGGCATGCAGCGCTCTCATGCCCATGTGGTCCTTGGCGCTGCCCTCCTGCACCCCTCCGTTCCCCAGCCCGAGGGACCTGGCACCCCATCAGCTTGTTTCCCTCCACACTTCACTCTGTCCCAGAAGCAGCAGCAACATCAAGGTTAATTTCCTGTTCCCCTTACAAAGCAAAATAATTTGCCAAAAGGAAGCACCTAACGAGGTGCCAGGAATGAACAGAAGGTCCTAGCTAATAAGTTTCCCAGCAGTTATAAAGATAGACCTGATGCGCGAAAGGAGACTCGGGCAGCCGTAGCTCCAGTGCAGCTCCTGATGGGGCACGGCAGGGCACGCTGGCTCCCTCAGCAACACCTTGACTTTTCGGGAAAAGATTTAGCACTGACGTAGCAGGCTACACCTTCAAGATCAATACAGAGAGCAAACACGCACAACCAGCCTTTCTCCCTCCCAGAATACCATGCCTCAACCTGAGCATCATCTTCTCTACGCCAGTTCTACCAACAGGAAAGAGAACACACCGCCTGAGAAAACATGTTTGCGCTAACAAGGTCATATTTAATCAGCCAGCACCTCCCGGGATGCAGTTTCGTCTGTGTGAATTAATAAGTCTGTCTACAGCAACAAGAGCAACCAGCTGGAAGCGCCCCATGCCAGGCACCCACAAATGTCTGCAGTGGGCAGTTCCAGGACAGGCAGACAGTCCCCGAGCTGGGGACACGTCAGGCTGGCAGGCTGCAGCGTGCTGTGGCGAGCACTCAGCTGTGCTCTCCTGCTCCCTGGGGAGCGGAAGCAGAATGACCCAGGGCCCAGTGCGGTGAGTAAAGCCATTTTGCCTGCCGTGACCAAGTCTTGCCACATCTTTATTTCCAAGTTGGGCATCACTGCAGGTGTTCCAGGGGTGAGACAGCACCCAGCGCGCTGATGCTCACAACCTGCCTTCAGCCCATGCTGTAGGCTTGTTCCTTGGGTGCTAATCAGAAGAAAGCAGCCAAAATTCCCTGCCAGTCACCTTTTGAAAGCTTGCTTTATCAGTCAAATCAGTTAAAAGGGCCCTGCAGAGTTTTAAAAGAGACAAAAGCTGATTTGCTGCTTGGCACGTGGAATTTCATTTCCAATGCAGATTAAGTCCATTAACTCATTCTGTGCCCTTTGTGGGATGGATCCTTCCCTGCCCTTGCAACTTATGGAAAGCACAGAGCAAACATACCGCAGTCTCCTTTCTAGTAAAGGCATTTGATAGCCTCATCTTGCTCTGGCATTCGTATTTCCTCACATGTTGCCCACTTGTAAACACCTCCCCTCCCCACGCACCATACCACATCTCTCATGAGACCTTTCAATGCCAGCAAAAGCCCAGAAACTCACCTTGTGCTTCATAGCCAGAATAGTGATGAGCTGCACCCACGTCCTCATCCCCGGGGCCCAAGCCAAGGGCCGACTTGAGCTGGGCCATGTTCACCTGTGCTGTCAGCTCACCATTCCGGTCCCCGATCTACAGGGTGAAAACCAACAGGGCAGCTGGTTAAAAGGCAACATGCTCTAAGCAAACAGCCCCTACCAAAGGGTTTGCCAGTCCCATATCAAAGCAAACACACAGCCAGCCAGAAGAGAGCTTGGAGACACCTTGAGAGACCATACAGCAACTCTCCAAAACTATTCCTCAGTTCTAGTTTGGGAGAGGGTCCATGCATGCTGTGCTGCATACTGGCTGCACCTCAAAACGCCTTTCTGTGGAGTTCGGTACAAGGAACTGAGGGGGCACAGCTCACCCACTGCTACAGAACTGGGACAGAGGTAAATGTGCACATCTGGTCCGTCCTGTAGCCGCATATAGCTTGGCAGAGAGCCCTGAAACTCTCAGCCCCCTTCCTCAAGTATTTCCATAGTTACTGAGCACCAGACAGCCACACTACTATCAGCCACGTGGGCAGTGTCACACTCGGGGCTTGGATGCTCTGAAAGCCCTTCTCTCCTGGCTCAGGCCCATACAGCTTTGAGTTGTTCCTAGGGATCTACCCACACAAGACTCCAAAATCTTTTGGAGTCCAAATTTTTCCAAATTTCCATCTCTCACTGGCCTGAGGCTGAGGAAGACAACATTACGTGTTCAGGAAGAGATCTTTCAAGCAGCTCTTGCTATTTAAAATGGGGAGTTATAAGACATTGCTGCTGGGCCCTCCTCAAAGTTTAACCAAACAAGAAAATTACTGTGCTGCATATCACCAGCAAACACAGAGAGGTCACTCAGAAACAGCCTCTAATCTTTAGAGGAATGGCAGCCTCTGTTACAGAGGAAGACCTTGGCTGTTTCCTTGGAGAGGCCTGACTCCCTATTAAATGCCTTGCAACAGCTCTTTTGTGGTCCTTCGATATAGACTGCAGCGTGAGCCATCCTAGAACAAAATCATAAATCCGCATACTATTTATGACAAAGCCCCAAGCACTAGTAAAGGGAGGCAGATCAAACAGCTTATCAGGCATAAATCCCCTGCCAATTACAAGAGATTTGCTGTTGACATCATCTCCAGAGAAATTACTATGTCCTGGTTAGGTCTCGCAGTCCTTGATGCTCTGTTCAATGCTTCCCCGACTTCCACTTATTCCAGCTCCGCTCCAAGGCCCTACTAATATCAGAGGAACACACTGGCAGGACAACGATTCTAGGCAGGGCCTACCACACACACCCCGTAGCAGAGCCCCGTTTTCTGCCCTCAGCTCAGATATCTGTTTCCCAGGAACCCCCGACACATGCAGAGATGGGAAAGGTGCTCCGGAGCAGTGTCCGAGAGCTGGGACAGCTTCCAAGGCTTTTAGGTACACATCCTTCACTCTGGCTGTTTCAGAAGAAATTTTCCAGTAACCTCTGATCACCCTGCAGCAGCTTCCAACATGCTTACCCTGAGCAAATTTCATTTGGATTCAAATGGCACCATCAGATTTATGTCAGGGTAGAAGGGGGAAAGGGTGATGGGAAGCGAGCTAAACACATTACTGTGCAAAGCTTTAACTTCACTAGGTTTATTCCTGGGCAAAACACTGGTGCGTGCCACAACAGCACAAGCAGCTCACTTGGTTCCCAAGGTTAAAATAAACCATCAGCTTTAGAATAGAATCACTAGCTGCTAGCAGCTAATGCGGGCTCTCCTCACAAGCAGACAGTCTCTGCACAGCTCCATAATTAACGATGTGGGGGAGTTTATTAGCCACTTGCCATGAGTAACCTACTCCTGACATGCCCTGTAATCACAGCCATCACCCCAGAATGAGAACATCACTGTGAACCCCCACCCTGTTGGGTTTCCCCTCCACCCCTAGAAGTCACCAGGACCACTACTGCTCCTGTCGTCCCACCACCCCTCACATCTGCGCTGCACATTGCCGAGCTGCCATCTGGTTCTGAGTAATCAGCCCCGCGCTGCAACAGTCCTAGCAGACTAAAGCTGGAAAAGTTACTTTGTCCTAAAATGTACAATGCCAAAGAACAGTATTTCTTCTGCATGTCTGATAAGTATAATTAAATACATAATTAGGCTGGTATGTCAGCCCTACCCCAAGAGTTAGCCAACCTAACAGACAGGCAGGAGAACACACGAAGCCCTTACATGTGGTGATTTCAATTAGTGCTTCAGAGCAATTTCTTCATCTGAGGAAGACTAAAGAGGCCACGGCCGATTTCCTCATAACACACTGGAAAGAGCAAACAATGGAATTCTTGCTTTCTGTACTTCTGAGCCACCTAAAAATGCCATATGTTCTTGCACCAAGAAAGCTGAGCAAGCACACCTGTGAAAACCAGAGTAGCTGCACGCATGAAACCCCAAATGCTGCAGCAGCGGTATAGGGCTAGCTGCAGGCTGCACTCATCCAGCATCAGCAATCGACTGTATTAGGACAATGCTAGAGTTTACGACCTCACAGCTGGGACCCCCCGCCAGCTCTACTGAGAGGAAATAACTTGTCACACGTACACTCCGTTGCAGTGCAAAATACAGCAGGTTTAGAGCACCCAGCCGCTGGGTAGAAGCTGGCCTTGTTTTCTCCAGGTACTTAACTTGCCAGCAAATCGGGTCAGACGACAGCTAGAATCACAAGGTCCATCTCGGTCAGGATCTCACAGCCTTGTGTGGGGAGTCTTACTAACAGACCGCACACCAAGAGGTATCCGAGTTCCTTCATACCAGCTGGGTGCACAACACCTTGGCCAGCAGACTAGACAACTAGTCCCCAGGCCCTTTCTCACCGAGGAATATCAGTTAAGAGCAATGTAGTACAGCAAATGTATTAGCTGTAATTAATTAAGGGGAAGGCTGGGAGCCCACCATAAAAATATTTTCTAGCCAAGTTCTGCAGTTCCTGAAGACACCATTGAAACAGCACATAGACAAGGGCTTTCCAGAGCAGTCATAGTAAGAGAAGAACTGCATTAATACAACTTATTGGCATAAAATAAAGTCTCTCAACAGGGAGGACTGATTCCCTCTGATCTGAACCAGCTTCTGTTACCTCCTGGGAGATTTCAAGATGTTTCCTTGCAAAGTGCAAAGCTTGTTCATGGCTCCCCAGGGAGACATAGGCATTTCCGAGACTCCAGCAGGCTCTTCCTTCTCCCACCCTGCAAAACAGGAAACTGTGAACCACAGAAATGCTGGGCAAAACCCAGCAGTACAGCAGCCCTTTCAGGGCCTCCTTCTCGAGAGCACCGACAGCCAGTCCTCCTAGCTATGCTTCCACCTACAGAAAGATTCTGCAAAGGAAAATGAGATGCACTGTACGTCTTAAACCCTTCTTATGCTGGGGGTCAGTGAGATCAGGGTATGAGCAACAGCCTCAGAAATGGGCCTGCATCCACAGTGTTACAAGGGCCCAGAATGGTGTGGCTTCATTTGTGAGCACCAGCCTGAGAGCAGAAGCCAGAGCTCCTGTCCAGCTTCCACCTCTCACAGCAAGGCTTCCTCTCCAGAGGTGCACAATGCATCAAGAGGGCATGTAAAATCCTTTTCTTCAACAGCCCAGAGCTAGATTAACAAGAACATGGCAAGAAGGAACTATTGCAGGCATGCAACATTCTCCTGCTAAATACCAGCACTGTATCACCTGGGATGCATGCACAAACTGGAACTGCATGAAACAGCCAAGCAAATATTGACCTATTTCCACAAGGCCTCCAGGGTGCTGCTTATTGTTTTCAGAAGCCAGAGAAAGCAGGCAAATGTGAAACCTGCCCCCGAGTGCAGCCAGCCCGCACCAGACACCAAGGTGTCTCTGGAGCAGGTTTCAGCACCTGTTTGCACAAGCAGGCAGAGACCTACTGCTCATCAGAGCCTGCTCAGCTCTGCAAACGAGCAGATGTGGGGGGTGACGGGATAAAAAAAGCACATGGGGGCGCAGGGGGAGGTTCAGCGTGACTGCAACTCCCTTTTCAGAGGTTTGGGCGGGTTGATCAGCATTTAAACATTTCTCTTGTCACACTGTTCAATACCTTCTGCTCATAGGGTGTGTTCCCAGAAATGCAGGAGCCCACAGGCCTGCACCCCCACAGCATGATTCACCCTTGGGTGGGATTATACCTTCTCTGAGCAGATACTGCCCGGATAGTGCCACAGAGCTCCCATTTTAATGTCTCTGCTCCATCTAGTGGAGGACACCCAGCTTCCCAAGAGCCATCAGCAGTAACACTGAACAAGGTGGCTGCAAAGTCAAGTCACTTAAGCTGCAGGAAGGCTCCAGAATCACAGCGAGAGTTATCCAGGAAAAAGGAACCAACCTCTCAAAAAAATATTTTAAAAAATTAAAAAAAAAATGAGGCCAAGCCTCCTAAAGAAGAAGAAATGAGGCCAAGAAGCAATATATATCATCTCCACCTGCTCTGTGTAACATCATTTGTTTCTACATGGAAGTTTCCAGCATCATCTCAGAGCAACAGGACAAAGTGGCATGTATGCACGCCCTACCCACACAGTTTCTAAGGGAGATACAATTTTTGTGAACTTGATGGAGCTTTAGAGGGGCCCGTCTGGGATAAAACAGCAGTAGCCACATGGCAAAGTGCTGAATACAATGCATTTTCTTGAAGTACCTCTTATTAGAAATCTCACTCAGCCCACGCAGACATAGCATTAAGGGCACACAGGTTTGAATGACACATTAAAGGCATCAATCATGTTACACTTTTGACAGATGACTGGACTAAGGCCTGGGTTCTGAGAGATTTCTAAAGACTTTCAAGAATACATGTCACTGCTGTTTAACCCCAGCAGTACAGAACAATAAGTCAACAGGGAAGGGTCAGTGCTCTGAACCCACCAGAGCAGAGACACCATCTCCTGAGGCAGTCCCTTACCTGTCTCCCAGCTCCTGTGCTATCACCAGGTGTTTTAGATGGTACTCGATTGCTCTTTCATAGTCTTGAAGCAGCGTGTACGTGTTTCCAAGACTGTAGCAAGCCTGGGCTTCTACTGCTTGATCTTTGAGTTGTCTGGAGAGCTGGAGAGTTTTCCTGCATGGAACACGTGGAAACGAAGAGACCTGGTCACTGTAGGGCACCTCTGCAAGGCGACAGGAAAGTCACCACTTTGGCGTGTGCTGCGTTGAAGGTGATGCCTGTAACACCCTGCAGGCTGACTGTCAGGTGGCTGTATTACTCGCCACTGCTGAGCACCACACATGCAATTGGCCTCCAGGTCCCTTGTCACATCCCCCTGAGCCTATGAATTCACTGCAATAGGTCAGGATTTCCAGGGAACATCTGCCCTGAGTCTGCCTTAGCCCCTGGCACTTACTTGTAGTACTCAGCAGAGATGTCAAACCTCCCAAGGAAGATGTGCGCATTGCCCAGGTTGCTGTACGCTCTCCGCTCGGCTGCCTTGTCCCCAAACTCCTTAGCAATAGCAAGGCGCTGCAGCAGACACAGATTAGTGAGTACAGGCTGGCCATTGCCGGGTTTCTGTTACACAGCAACTTTTCTGGGAGATTAACTTCGTTTTGCAAAGCTCCCACCCAGCAAGGTAGCGGTGCCTGTGCCAGTCAGGGCTGGAGGCAGCAGCAGGAAACCTCTCTCTTTTGCAATTCAGGAGCAGGAAGGGCCTTTGGAAAAGCGGGAGTAATGTCGCATCCTCCTCCAACTCCTACTCCAGCCTCATCAGTACACATCTCTAGCTAAAGCGCAAAAGGAGTCACACACATACTTCAACAGCTGAATAAATAGGAGAATGAAGAGCTGTAGGTCAGGCTGTGGAGAGATGTGGTTGATCAGCAGACTAATGTGCAGGAACAAGGCTGTCACTTTGTGCGGTGCTGTGGCACAGAATGAACATGCACGTGTGTGCACTCCACCTCACTGTCTGCGCAGCAGCTGCTCCGCAGACTTCTGCCCCTGCCTGCACCTCAGTCCTGCCTCTCCTCTCACATCCCCCTGCTCCCCACGCTTCCTCACCTCTCACCCTCCACTTTGCAGTACCTGCTCCTGGTCGCAAATACTGCACAGAGTCTTCCTGCCCCTTTCAAGCCCCTTCTCCCACAGCACTGCTGGCTGCTGTCCCCCAGCATTCAAAAAAATCCGAAGAGCTGTAACAGGGCTGACTTTCCAAGGTGCTGAGCACCTTCCACTGCAAGGAAACTGGTATGTATTCTGAACTAGAAGCTGAATTGCATTTGAATTGAGACAGGGACTGTATCACCTCACCGCTCTGTAAAGCTTTACAGAAAGTTATTATGTTCTACAAGCAACATTTATTCCTGATCAACAGCTCTTTCAGCAGCTTAATTAAAGTCATGGCTTAACATTTACACCAATACAAATTAAAAGCAGAAAAGCCCTTGCTAGGCCCAGCTGCAATTTGCCCTTAGGTATCTCCTTTGGTTTCCAAGCCAACAGCACCCTTCCATCAAGCTGCTCATTAGGTGCTGATGGGGACTGGAGTAAGATGTTGCCCAGCGTGAGTTAGTACAGCAGGGCCAGACCCTGAGGTACACACAGGAGGGAGAAAAAACAGCTGGGGGCAAACGCCTCCCTGTACTTCCTGGGCTGTGGTGAGAAGGCAGGCTGCTCCCCAACAGCCAGACTCAGCCCCTGACCCCAGGAGGAAGGCACAGTGGTTTCCTACCTCCTTGTGGAAGGCTATAGCTTCACTGAAGTTGCCAAGTAAGTACTGGGTGTTGCCGAGGTTGCCATACGCACGGCCCTGCGCAGCTCTGTCCCCCAGCTCCTTCACTAGGGACAGGTTCCTCCTGAAAGAAATCAGAGCAGTACATCTGGTGAGACACAGCAAACACACTCTGCAGGAGACACAGCAAAGAAACTTGCACCATAAAGAAAGGAGAGCTAACCCTGGAGAAGGCATTTCCCCTCCCCAGCCGCCTGTCCTGTGCACAGTCACCCCTTGGCAGGTGAAAATCTGGTGATCTATGCTAGCTGCAGCTCTGGGAGCTTGTGCAGATCCAGCAGTGTAAGTCCCTGCTGTCCTCTCAACCTCAGGCAACCTGCAGCTGTGTACAGGAACTGCACAAATGCTCACACACCGATGCTCTGATGGGATCCCACATGAAATAAATGGCCACCCCACTGTACAGGGGAGAACCAGGAGCATAGGAGAAAGGAGATTACCTACAGCAGGATGGGGCAAGATCCACAGTCCCATGCCAGGGCTCTGCTCATGGCGCCTCCCAGCATTTCTTTACCTTGTTTTTTCCCCCCTTTACACATACAGCACACATAGGGAAGCACAGAGCTCTCAGCTGGCACAAATTTACCCACTGGCTATGCTACACGCACCATTCTTTGCAAAAAGGATGGTGAGCTATATATAGGCACTATCACATCCTCAGATATGAGAGGACAGATATAAGATCTTGTCATTCTCTTCATTTAGAAAGGCTACTTAAAAAAACCCTGCACAATTGAAGCAAAACTCTGAAGTACAAGGAGAAAAACATTAGCCCAAAAGTCTGGTGACAACCTTCCTGTGTGGGACATCAGAGCGATCTCCGAAACTATTTAGGAAAGGGAAGGATGTTACAAGCCAGATAAACTACAGATCCATGAGAAGGACAACCAGGACTTCAAGAGAAAGCCTCTTCCCTTGGGTGAAGGAGAGTCTCTGTTCGTGGCCCCAGCAATGGAGACACACAGGGATCTATTCTCATCAAGGCCAGCAGAGAGCAGCAGGGGCTACAGGAGCTAATAGTTTAGCTTCCAAATACAGCTCTGAGAAGGAGCAGACTATTGAACTTAATTGCATGATCATACTTCAAACTACACTGAGTTTTACCAAGGCAATGCCAGGATGAATTTTAGCTCTAATTTTATAAAAGCTTGCAGTCCCTCTCTCACATTCCTTGAGATTGATTTGCCATCGTAACTCGGCATCTCAGAGGAATATTCCTAATTCATTAAAACATGCAAAATCTCATTCGGCAGCCTGATTTTCAACAACACTGAGACCACAGTCTCACTCTTTGCAACCAACATCTTCCAGAGCTTCCACATCCTCAGTGGCCCAGGAAACAAATCCCCCCTATGAGAAATGCTTCCAACAGGACTCAGTAAAAATTGTCATCTTGCACTCCATACAGCTATCATTAGCCTAACCATTATTAGAGCTCAGCTAACCTGCAGACCCTGAAAGCTGTCAACAGAACAGGAACACCACAAATACTGATTATGATCTGAGCAGGATGAGCTCAGCAAAGGTGTACCTGTGTGCATTTTAGCAATCACTGATGCCTGACCAGCCCTGTTCCCCTGCAGGAAGAAGGGTTGGCCAAGCTTGAATACTTACTCATAATATTCTGAAGCTTTCTGTAGCGTCTCCTTGACTTCTTGAGGCAGGTAGCCTGGGTCTTGGGCCATGTTCCAAGATAAGTGCTTTCCCTTTGCATGGTAAACATTTCCTATATTATAGAGTGCTCTGGCTTCACCTACCTAAAGGGAGGAAGAACAGGGAGCAGCAAGGTATTACACTTCACATCCCAATATGGACCTTTCTGTTGCCGGGCAGAGATGGTCAAAGCCAGGAGGCCCACATTTTCCTTTCCCCATCTTCACTGTCACGGCAGCTGTTACTGTCAGCAGCGTGGTGTGATGCAGCCAGAAGGGAGAGCTTTACACTCCACCTCCTTCCAAAGCCCACCTTCACCATATCACGTTTACTGACTTGCAGACAGATTACTGTTAAAGCTAGGAAGTATTTCCTGTTGGATGCCATGAACCAATTACCTTGTCTCCCTGCTCCTGAGAAATGTCCAAGTGTCTCTGGCAACAAACAACAGCTTCATCAAACTGCCCAAGTATTTTCAGTGTATTCCCGAGGTTGCCACTTGCCTTGGCTTCTCCAACGCGGTCCCCGATGGTTCTACAAGATGACCGGAGGAAAGAGGAGAGGTGTTAAAGAGCTCACAGGCTTTTGTTCACCAACTATTGGAGGCAGAATTCAAGCTGCAGTGAGCCAAGCTGCAGCAAGCACTGCATGGTACGTACACCACATCCAGCACTTCCCAGCACACACGCCTGACTGGAACGCTTCATAAAAGCGCTTTCAATTTTGATGACAGATTCTTGGTTTTTTGCTGTCTCAGGTGAGCTGCTCTAATGACTTCAGGTGTACTTACAGTGAGTACCTGGGGATAGGAGAACTGGACATTGCCCTGCTCTTGCTCCAAGCACCCTCCCTCACATCCATATCCCTTTCTCCACCTCCCTGCTCTGAAGGTGGCCAGCCCATTCTTGTTGCCTCCTGAGTTCTCCACAGGACAGTCACCCTCAGGGCTAGTTTTGGATGCCTATTTCTGGGGCAGATTCCCTCAGGCTGCTGGGTTCAGACCCCACAGAACTTGCCTTCGCTCAAGCCCTGACAGGTTGTGTCTAATTAGGACAAAGCACTGCTGACATGCTTACCTAGCCAGGGTAAGGTCATGTTTATGGTACTCCAGGGCCTTGGAGTACTCCTTTAGGTAGAAATAGGCATTGCCCAGCTGACTGTAGATGGCACTGAGAGTCTTCAAGTCCTCTGTCCCCACCTGCACCGCTGCTTCGAAGAAGGCTGCCCCAGCTTTGAAGTCCCCAGCCTTGCACAAGCGCTCTCCTTCCAGGGCCAGTTCCAGGCAGGATGCCTCCATTCTGCCAAAAGCAAGACCGTCATTTCTAGAGGAGTTAGACTGCAGTGCACCCACACTGCTATGCAATGATTAAACAGTTTACTTCATTGTACACCTCACTGCACCAGAAAAAAAACTACAAAAAACCCCTGGAGGGAGCCACCCTCCAGGCAGCAGCTGCCTCTCTACATTCAGCCCCAAGCACTAAGGCACCAGCCCGGGTCAAACACTGTTTGTGTGATACTAACTCGGGGACACGCAGCTGGCACACCTCAGCATGTGGACACCAGCTTTCAGTGGACATGGCGGGCACTCAGCCCCTCTAAGAAACCAACCTCCTAGGCATGAGACACAGGAACATCCAGGTTTACAGACCGCATGGGCAAATGGCCAAAGGCAGCCCCTGGGTTCCCGGTAGGAATCTGGACAAGAAACTCAGGGCTCCTGGCTCTCAAGACGCACATTCACATCACAAGAGTAACATGGCATCTGCTCTTCTTCCAGGCGGTGCTCAGCACAGAAACCACATACCCCAGGCTATTCACGCCTGCACCACTTTCCCTGGGGTAACAGAGAGGGTAGCCAAATTGTAACACATTTTTATTGGATACCAGAGAAAACCCTGGACTGTGCAGAATGTCTTGACCGAGCAGCTTCTAGTGCTCGGTGTCTGCTTTTCATTAACTCCCCTGCTGTCACTTTTTCCACAGGCACTCTGCACATTAGCCTCCAGGTTAGCTTTTCTCCCTTGCATTTCTCGACGCCTTTGGCAATGGTGCATGCCGTGCTGTCAGTGAGTGCTCTGCAAGCCAGCAGAGAGGAGCGAGACCAGTGACACCGCTTCAAGAGAAAGGAAACATGCTCCTTTGAGTGCTCCACCAAGTCCTCTCTAAGTTACAGCTGTCCCTGTTAGACCATGTGTATCCTCCAGTTCTCAGAAGGGACAGAACACTCATTTGAAAACTTACATTTGGAAGTGTCTTGCCTGCTGCAAAGCCAGCCCCTTCATGAGGCAGATGGACACAGCATGTTCCTGCTCCTCTATTCAGACACTTCTCTTTGCTCCTTTTGGCTTTTTCATTTCTGCTCAATGTATTTTTACAAGTCAAAACTATCTAGGTCAAAGGTGGACATCTGCTCAGAAAAAACGTAGCCCATTTGTCCAGAGTCAGAAAAGCAAGGGTCAGACAAAAGATAATAAATGTCCAAAGGCGATTTCTATTCTGTTCTCAAAGAGCACTTGCGGGAAGTTTGACTGCGGTACCCAGACTACGAGAACAACTTGCTCATCATCACTGCAATAGCAGCAGCCCAGCTGACATCTCCCGCAGCAGTTTCCTGCTGAGCCCTAGAATATGCTTCCCCCAAAGCCACCCTTGTGATAAGCCAAGGCCCAGGCCCTGCAACGGGGTCTCTGCAGACCAAGGCTGAGGTGTGCTGGCCAAGCTGGGGCACTCTGTGCTGCTTTGGCTTCTCTCCCTAAGGACACCACCTGCCACCGTGCACCCTCATGCCCCTCGTCCACACTGACTTCAGGACAGAGTTCCTCCTGCTCCAGGTCCGTGCTCCAGTATCTTCTGCCCAAGTCTGCACCCAGCACTTGCCTCCCCCTGCCATGAAGGGGCACGGGGAGATGCATGTACAAAATACCAATCCTGGTACATTTTTCCTACAAACAGGCAGAATGGCGTTTTCTCAGCTGCCAGGAAACAAAGCCAGTTCCTCTACGAGCAGCGCATAAACTGTCTAAAATCCAACCTTATTTGCCTGGCAATCTCCCTGCTGAGTCGGCTCTGTATGGCTCCAAACACCCAACACTTGGCAACTCAGCAGCATCCTCCAAAGCAGGACAACCCACAAGGACTGTCCAAACAAAACAAAAAAAACAACCCCAAAAAAGGCGAAAGAGCTGGTTTCAGACTCCCGCCAGACACACTTGTGACCCCTCCTGTCTCACTGTTCATTTGTCCCCAAAGCCACTGAGTAACAAGAGGGAGAACGGGATTGTGAAGCAGCTCATTTGAGCTCCCACCTCAAACTCCCACACAAATATTTCATTTCAAGCTCACTGCAAAGCCCACATTTGAGTGGCTATTTTACTTGTGCAAGAAGGCTGCTTGCGGTGCTAGTGCAGCATCAGTCCCTGCCTCAACTTCTGTTTGATAGGGGAAATAAAAATATTAAGACTGTTAATACTAAAAATGTTTAACTTCTCTCTACTGATCCTCTTGCTATACCACATGAAAATTAGTAAGAATGAGCTGCTGCTACAGCATGTTGAATTAGAGGGACCCATTTGGGGATCATACCAAACTTCCATCAGTCCCAAGGCAGATTCATGGTTTGTAGATCACTAGAGTGGTTATCTGGTGTCATCATCGGATATTGACAAGTCTCTGCTGATACATACCAAACAGCTCAAAGAAGGCTTGGGACTGGAGAAAGACAAGGAACACCTTATACTGAAATCAGCAAGATTAAATTCAGGCAGCTTAACAGAGCTGAATCTTTAAAGGACTTGAAATGCAGGAATGAGCCACTAACACGGGAATTAACGTTGGATTCCAGTTAGAAGACAGCCAAAACAGAAGCAAATTTCAAAATAATTTCAGTTCAAATTTCAACACAAACAAAACTCTTCCCAGGTTCTCTTTAAGGAACTGAGTTCACCAACTGTAAACAGCCTAAAAACTGAGCTGGAGACCAATTTCCCTAATTCATGGCATTGCAGTCTAGCTCAGATCAAACTTGTTGTGTGATTTGAATAGCTTGAAGTGAGGGTTCCCATCCCCGCAACACAGAAAACCCTACAGCAACAAAACCCAACCACACACTCCGAGGGTGGCATCTCGCTCAGGCCATATTTGCCAGTGGAAACATAACTAGAAGTGAAATCTGTGCCTCGGGGCCAGCGTTCTGATACACCCACACACACACACTTGCACACACTCACACTCTCTGGATGCTTTCCTGGTGTTCCCATAGCAACTATTCAGGCACAACGCAGTGACATGACCTTCCAGTGCACGCAGCCTTTAATTAAAGTCTGTTTGTCCTTGAACAGGCTGCTTTGCAGAGCATCTGACTTACCTAATTAACATCACTGCTTAGTTTGGGACCTAAGCAAACAAGGGGAAGGGAGAGGAGACTTTTTCTCTGCATCGCACTCTGCCAAGCCTTTGCTGCCATGGAAAGGGACAAGAGTCAAGGATAGCAATTATTAACAGAAACACAACCCGCTTCTAAAACCCACCTGCCCTTCCCACATCCTCAGGGTCCCACAGCCACAGCTAGTTCTGGGAAGCAACTTTGCATGCAGTTCAGTCACCGCAGGCTTAAAAGCACTCAGGAACGCAATGCCAAGGGCAGAGGAACCAACCAAAGGTCAACGAACAAACTCAAGCACACTAAAACACTACACATACAACAGCTTCCAAAGGCCATAGCTCAACTGTCCATAAGAAAAGACCAGAAGGGCGATTTAAGGAGAAGACAGAAATCTGCTGTTCAAGTGAGCCAACCTGAACCACCTTGACAGACTGGCAAAGGAAAGGGAAAACAGTGAATAAAGACAGACTCAAGTTACAGCCCCAGTTCCTCCCACAGCACATGCCTGAGCCCTCCCCTACCTCTTCTTCTGCAGGTTACGCATTTTCTGAACGTAAACCCAGAGCTCCAAGCCCACTGGCAGAAGGAAGCAGCGGGGCTGAGGTCTACTTGGAACAATTTTGCAGACAGGTCTCTCTGTTAAGTTCACAGGTGGGATCCGGGGTTTTGAAGATGCTGATGGCATCTTCAGGTCCATACAACATGCACTGCTCTCCAGCTTTCACTCCATCTGCTGGGGCAACGTTACCAGTAAGTTGCTGGAATCCTGAACTTTGTTTATCTGGGACACTTCCTTTTCTCTCTGTATGCTGCCCTTGAAAGGGAAGGGGAAAGGAGCATTGCTTTTGTTTCCAGACACCTAGAGAAAGTAATGTCCTCTTTTCTCTAAGAAATATAATATCCTTCATCCACTGTTGGTTTCAGGTACCAGGTAGGTGAGTTCACAGCTGAAATCCAGGAACAAGAGAGTGTCTTGGTTCATTCACATACTTTCACACCACCCAAAGAAGAAACACGGCCCTAGAAGAGTCCATAAGATGGCCAGAGTCAAAGGCAAGCAGCTCCCTCCTTTCTGAATTAGTCTCTTCCCAAAGCACTTTGCCTCTGCGGTCGCATGAACTATTCTTGTTGGTGCCTCTTTGCTCCAAGAGCAGAAGGACTTCTACTGCTATGAACCTCTCCTTGTCAGGTGTGGAGCTCAGGGTTCCTCCAAAAGAGGGTCATCTTTGGGCAGAAGCACACGTTAGTATGACACGCTCCAAAGAGGCCTCATCCATCTGCCACCCAGGAAGCTTTGCAAGTTCCAGAAGTGATCTGAGCAGTTCTCAGACTGGGGAAAAGCAGGAGAGGGCAGATCCCACAGAGCACATCCCTGCCCATTTAAATGGGCTCCAAAACATCCCCATCTGAGAAGACACAGCCCTCTACCTCCCGCCCCCCAGGTATTAAGTTTCTTATCGGCTGACACACAGGCAACATGCCTGGGCCTGTACCACCTCAGCAAGCACCTACTATTCATGTCTTAATACCAGAAAAGAAGATTCAGTCCCTTCTGAGCCAGCAAATTACTGCTGACAAGCTGAACGTAATTTGGCTGAGCTTGGCCATATGGTGTGGTTCAGAAGAGAGACACTGCAGAACATGAGCTGCTTTTCCTACTTCCACAGCTAAGATGCTAGAGCTTGTTAATGCAATTCCCCACCACTCAACCTTTTAGCTAACAGCACGGTATGTCCCTGCCTGTGAGTCTGAACAAAGACACAGGGAGGGGGGGATGCTCACTTCGAGCAGCCCCTGTTCATAAGCCTTGCCCTAAATCAGTGCAAACCACTCATACAGATTCGCACGTTCCTCCAGATAGGCAGGATTTCCAAGTATTGGCAGAAGTCACATCCCAGACTCCAGGCCCACCACAAGCAGCCAGGAAGGTCTGACGACGTTCCCAGATGATCAAGTCCCAGACCAAACCAAAACTACACCACGTATAGCAAAGTGTTTTCTTCTGAATGCGTGGAGATGACAGACCATGTCAAGTCTGGCCAGGTAAGAATAAAGTTTTGAAGACACCAGCTGTAATCTAGAAATGAGAACAGAACTGGCGTGCACAGCAGAGTCCCAGCATCAGTTCCCAACTGGAGCTCTAAGCACAGCTCCTCTGCAGCTTGGGTTATGTACACATCTGTAAAACAGCAACGAAGGTGGCTCCCAGAGCCCTTTGAGATCCTTTTGCAAAAGGTACTTCAAAAAGGGCAATATATGTGTTTAAGAAACGACAACAAAAAGAACAAATTTTTTAAAAGCAGTAAGAGGCCAAATATAAACCCAATGTTTGGCCACAAATGAGTTAGGCAATCTGCACAGCATTCTGCCAGAGAAATGAGTGAGTGGCATAACGCTGGCAGATCACTTGGCCTCCATCAACGCAACAGCCGTGAATTTCAAACCTGGGAATGGACGTTGCTTCTGACACTCGTATGAGGCACAAAAGGGTGACCTTCCACCATGCAGTGATAGGGACGAGGAAGTCTCTTCCCAAACCAACACAGGGCAGGGCCACCCTCCCTCCTCCTTAACTTCTTCTTTAAAGGATAACTGATCTGAAGGCAGAAAGAGCCGAGAAGAACAGGAAGAGCAGATACTGCCTTTAACAACAAGGTTTCCCAGGGTCATCCATCACTGTCAGATAGCAGCTAATGATCTGTATCACAGATTGCCTTTTGGCTGCCTTGCCTTAAGAGCAAAAAATGTTCCTTTACAAAAGGTGCACAGGCAAAAATGCAAGGGCTCTCACACATCAAATGTTTTCAAGCAACACAGCAACACGGAGAAGGCAGCGAGGGTCCCGGGAGCGCTGGGGATGCTGAGGACGCTGCCAAGTAAGAAACAAAGCAAACAGCACAAGGTGTTATCAGTGCCATTAACAACGATCACCATGACTGCTGTCAAAACAGCACTATAATTAGGACTTGGGTGATGATACAGGTCCCCAGAGGGGGCCAACACTACTCATAACGTGTGTTCAGAAGCTTGGAGCTACAGTCAGACCTCCCAACATCCCGCTCTCCCCCAAATCTTTGCACCTCCCTCGCCAAATATTCCAAGAAAATAACACAGCATGGACAACATCACACTTGTCCTCCCCCTGCTAGGCTGGAAAACAGCAGTGAAGACTGCCTTTAGCCAAGAGCTATTCTGCAGGATCATGGGCTTGAAGCTCAGGGCTGCTGCAGCTCCTGCAGCCCAGGAGATACGGCCACAGAAGCCAGAGTATGACACAGTGACATCCCACCTCTCAGGTCTGCACCTCAGCCCCACGTCTGCTCCAGGCAGGCAGAAAAAGAGGAGAGCATACAGTGTCCAGCAATTAAACTTGTCTTACTCCAACCCTCCCTTTCACACATTCAGAGCTGCCTTGTTTGGACTGTCTTGCTCACAGCACTTACCCTGCTGACAACAAAGCCATCAAGCTACGCGGAAAATAATCATGTCCCAAGACAGAACTAGGAGACAGCTGTCTGCTGCCTTAAATACTGTAAATCTCGCAGGGCAAGGGAACCTCTTCCTGTCTGCAAGGTGAAACTGCCTTTTAAAAAAAAAAAGTTATTTATAGGTATTTGATTCGTATTAGTGGGGGTGATTGCAAAACTCATTCCCAGTCAGAGCTGCTGTAGTTCTAAAGTCAGGAATAAAACCCAAGCTTTTAGACAGGACGTAAGGCAGAAAAAAACCCCACCAAAACCACCAACAGTAGTAAAAAAAAAAACCCTTAGTATAATTATTGATATGAATTAATGAAGCAACAGATTTTAGCATCTAACTTGCAATCTGATTGAATTTTATACAAAAATAAATTAATTTCAGAGCACTGATGACAGAGGCAATTAAACATTTTTTTCCCAATCAAAAAGGGATCAAGTTTATCAGCCGTTCAGTGTAAATGTATATTCACTGGCTTAACTAACTAAATATGCATTTAGATAATTAACTGGGAGCACATCGTTAAAGAAAGTAATCAAGTTGAGAATTATTCCCCTTTAGTCATTTCCTTTCCCGGCCTTCGCACAGCTCCTGTACATGAAAAGCAGTCGATGACTGAACCACCAGATAACCCAGCCAGGTAGGAGCTGCTCAAACTCCCCAGGGAAGGTTTCCCTTCACTGCACGGGGACACAATGGAGGGAGTTCACATCCCACACGAACCAGCTCACGCTTCTCCTGTACCAAAGCCCAGGCTGCACTTGACGAAAGGTCTGACTATTTTCATGGGCTTCCCTATATGAGGAAAGCTATCGCAGATCCTCCTGATGCACAGCCCAAATTTATTCGCAGTGAATTTATGCCTGTTTAGCCTTGGGCCAGCACCGCAAGCCGGACTAGACTGCTCTTCTCTGCCTGGGGCACTCTCACAACGTGTTTCGTTTCGGGCAGTTTCTCTCTGGCTACTCTGCCCCAGGCAGGGTCCTAGCTCCTCATCAAGCAAGGCTTTCCTCACAACAAGCTGGGGGCTCATGTCATCATATCATCAGCACATACACAGCTGCCTCTCTCTCTCTCACTTGCTCCCAAATGATGACCTCCCATCTCTGAGAAGAAAACCTTATTACTAGCTCCTAAGTACACGATTGCAACTTCATACCATTAAATGTCATCACATTGCCATGACACCAGACCTATCAATCATTCAGTTCCTCCTATTCAATACTCATCCTCCCCTGCACTGCTTGTACCTCATCAACACACCCATTAGCAACCTGTTCTGTTTTGCAGGGAGGGCACTAATAAAAATACTCAGCTCACTCCCAAGACCAGTTCTTGTGCAACGTGGCCAGCAATGCCTCTCCACCCTGCCGACAGCTCTCCTTGCAACACGGCCCCTCGCTTCCCACCCACGTCACAACCCAAGCACTAATCCCCTCCTGACAAGCAGTTTCCCCACAAGGCACCATATCAAGCACAGGCTGGCAGGGAAGGGTGACAAACAAATCAAGATACACGTGAAATTACCCTGACTCAAACTACTTTTGGTACTTTGAAACCAGCACACGGAATCTGGTTTCCCTCCAGTCAATGGAGGGCAGAACCTCTGGGGCACTTTGACCTACATGTCACCTTATTAGTGAAGGGAAGAAAACAAAACCTCTTGTTTTGTTTGGCGAGGAAAGGCCAAAGATGAAACAATGAATGCTGCACCCAGTCCTTCCCAGCTTCTGAATTACTTCCAAGCGTTTTGGCCAGTTTCCTTCACATCTCCCGAAGCATGCGAGGTGCTGCAGAGGCAGCTCTGTGCCACCAGCACATCTGGAGGGGAGAAGGTTTCCACTCCACACACTTTCACTGGTAGTAGTATTGCAGCGAGTCCTTTCAGTGACCCCCCGAACTGAAAATAAAGTAATATATACACACACACTTACTGCTGCTTGAGAAGTGTTTGTTCAAGCTGGAGCTCCAGGGGGTACCAAGATGAAGTGGTTTTCACTGCAGTCTTTAGATAAGGGCATGAAGCAGAGAATCCAGAGGGGAAAACTACAGGGAGTTCTGGAAGCCACTGGGTCTGTGCGCTGGCTCCAGATTTTTTTCTTCCACTCACTGATGGTAGCATCAGTGCTCAACAGTAGTTATTTCAGTTAATTGCTGTCTACCATTAGCTGCAGAGTACTTACAAGGGATTCAATTCCACAGCATATT